TTTGTCTCCACACTCTTATAATCAGTGTTCTGTACTTAAAAGTAGACAGCCACCTAGGGCCCCAAAACACATTGGCCCCATAAAAATACTAATTAGATATAGTATAAGGTTTGTTAAATAACCTACTGTGAATTATGTATGTATATTTTAAAAATAGCTGTTATTTGTGATTGTATTATTGTATTTAATAATATTATTGTATTATTAAATTATTAATTTAAGTAGCATCAATGCAGTCTCACCTTGTTTATGGTTATAATGGACTGTTTCATGTTGTGTTATGACTGTGCAAAGACAGACTGGTATGACGATTAAATGAGTGTAATGCTAGTATTAATGTAAGTTTCTAATTATTTCTCTCCAGATTTAATGGGATTACATTACTTTTTATTTCCTGGGAAATGTAATCTCATTACTCATTATTTTACATCATTACACTACCCTGTAGCAAATTACATCACCATACTGGCAGATAATTTTGCTTGTTTTAAGCTTTATTTCTGGCAATATTGTGCGATAATTTCACTTAACAAAATTCTTAAAGTAAAAAATGTCTAGAAATAAGTTAAATAATCATATAATATTCTTACATCAATTTATAAATGAGAAGCATTAGATATATTGACAAGATTTAAGATGATTTCACTTGCAAAATGTAATTTTTTGCAGTAAAAACAGTTGTGCCACTTGAGAGCCAAGAGCCTCAACTAAGTTTTAATTATACAGCCAGGGGGGCATTTCTGTCTTTTGCCTGGAGCACCAGAATCTGCCCCCTGCTTACGATGTGAAATACAGCCATAAGATTAAGAAAAACAGTAAGAAGAAGTTGCTCAACTTTACAGATTTGTCCACAAACTCACTCCATGTGTCTCAGAAATGGTTTTAAGAAAGTGATGTACAGACTCTTATGCTCTTGGACAGAGCTGATGTAAATGTAGCAGTGATCTGACTGGTACTTCAAGAGATGGTGTGTGGAAAGTGAGGCTGCGGTGGCAAGTGGTGGCATGCTGAAATTAGTGACCGAAGTGAATCGCTAACACATGGAGGGGGACAGATGGAGACGACAGCATACATGCACAAGCCCACACACACGTACGTGAGCTATCTGCTCTTCTCCAGAAAGCCATTTCCCTTCTCACCCGTTAATGTTGGCAATATTTAAATAGAATGAAATGTGAGGCTGTTGAAAAATAATTAAAATGCAGTATGCTACCTTAAGCTAGATTGCTAGGTTTATGCGCTGTGTTGGTTTTGGTCTCCATTCATGTATATCATTAACATGTATGGATTATCCCAGCAGGCCTACAAGAATAGGCGGACAGACAGATGAATGTATTCCAGCCGAATGTTATATTGAGCTGTGTTAGGTTTCTGAATGTTCATACACTGATGTTCTGGAGAGATAATAGTCAGCATTTTCCGTATACATACTAATGATTAGCGTTTGAAAGCAAAGATAGGTTCAGCAAAAACGAGCAGTTCTCTTTGCTTAGTGTATTTTAATACACTACGGTTTAAAAGTTTGGAATCACTTACCTATTAACAGTTTTCATTTATATACAATAATAACTTTTATAATATGGGTTTAAATGCTAACTGTTCGTCAAAGTGTATTTTAAAATGGAATTCTATGAACAAGAAGTCATTAAATGATAAATAATGTACTATAACTATCTATTTTAAATATATATATTTTTATATCTGCCTTGAGACTTAATCTCTACTTACCAAATATTATGAATTTCAGATATTCATTTTATAATACCTTCTGCTATACTGTGTTCTCAGTCAATTTAGAGCTCTGTCTAGAGCTCTGTTTGTCATTTTGAATACATCTTACATTTCTTAATGATCATTTAGAGCTCTGTAGTATCCTGCTAATTTCTGAAAAAACAGTACGGTTGCACAAGAGTAGTGCATTACAATAATCTATGTACTTATCTGCAACCTGATTGGATTTATATTATTGAAAATATTGACTGCATTTGCACCTGGTTGTTTCATGTAACTTGTATCTTGATGGTAACCTGATAAGATTTTAACCACATGCATTATAATCTGATTGCTACAATCAGTCGCCTGTGGTGTTCATTTTTCCTCTTCTGATATCTTGAAAAGCCCAATTTTGCACGGCGTTATTCATTTCCTTACACCGGCTTTACATCGATGTTTACAAGAAGATGTTATTAGTCATCACAATCAGGGACAGCATGTGTTTCAACATGATATTTTGTAGAGAGACAGTGAATAACGACAAGGCAGAATAACGATGAACCAAACTGCCGCTTCATTTTAAATAGCTTGGACTGCTTAAGGCTATTGAATTAAACTCAGAGAACAAACTCTTGTTAAGAGCTGAATTGAAGGAGCATCAATGCCTCTGTTTAGTGACGGCAATCCAGTAGGTTTTTTTTCCTCATGTGCAGAACAGCAGAGGGAATTACCATTACAGTAGTGGGAGGGGTTTCGGTGGTCATATGTAACATGGAGAGATGGCTAAAATGCATCTCAAACCTGAAATTGTTTGACTGATCAGGTTTAAATCTGTTTTAAATGCGTCTTGAGTGCATTTAAACCTGCATTTTTATTAGGTATGAAAATTTTGTGACCAATACTGATTTTAAGAGGCTAAAAATTCTGATAAACAAAACATTCTAATTAACAATTATTTAATTTTATGCCTTATGTTTTAGTTTTTTAGTTTATACTCCAGTAGTTTTAGATAAACACTTTTTTTCACAGACTGATATGATTGTTAGTTGTCAGTTATCACACTTCTTAAACTGAAATAAACAGAAACTAGAGTCGACTTGAATCAGACGACAGAAGCATTTTTACTTCTTAAAGTGACGTTCCAAATGAATCAGAATACTCTGGCGGAAAATAATTGTGGACGGGACCTTCTTCAGGATTAGGCTGAATTGTGAAAAGTGAGCATTCCAAAACAAATAGTCAGACTGTGACAATCCGCAGAGTCTGTCTGTTTTGCGGAAAAGCCAAAAATAAAAAATAGAAATAAACAGGTTTTGTCAGACAATAAGTACTATGGCAATTGGATGTGTATTTTCTGAAACAGGATTCATTATTTATTGAAAACCTGACTTTTTGACTTTTAAGAAGCAGACCAGGCAAAGCACCAGTTAGCAAGCTAGCCTTTTAGCATCTGTGTTGCTTTCTTTTTTTTTTAAATTTTCACCACAAAAGCAAGAGAAAAAGACAGTCAGGTTCTCATTAAATAAATCAATGGATGAATGTAACCACCTAACATTTGTAAGCAAGAGTTGGAGTGTGTGTGTGTGTGTGTGTGTGCGCGTGTGTGCGTGTGTGTGTGTGCATGGCAAAAAAGTTTGAATAACAGTGCAAATGATGCCAGATATTTGAACAGCCTCATTTGTGTTAACATGACCTTGGATTGCCAGCATAAATGAACTGAAATAACTCAGAAGTGACTATTTTTCCATGCAGTATAAAACCCGAAAGTTAGAGAGAAGAAAGGAGATCGTCTGCTGACATACATGTACATATGCATCTGGGAACTGAGGCGATATAGAGTGTTCTCTCTTGATGATAGGTCAGGGTGGTGGAAGGAGGAAGGAAAACATGCTAAGATATTTTTGGTTAGTATAATCTTCCCTGCTGCTGGAACAAGGTGATGCAACTAAACGTCAGATGGCGTTTAGAGGCAGGCAAAAGTCACTGCACTTCAATCAAAGATTACAGAGAAACAAGAATTTTTTCTGTTGAATGAAATGACACAATGGATTATGCTTAAAGTGACCAAGGACATGAAGTAACAAGGTAGAAAAGGTCCAATTTGATTTCAGGTTGACTAATATATTGTAGCCCAGCAGAGCTACCTAGAATGGGTACTTTGCACTTTTGATGTCCATTTATGACCTCTTGTTTTTCACTAGTTTTCCATATATATATATATATATATATATATATATATAATATATATATATATATACACACACACCGATCAGGCATAACATTATGAGCACTCTGCTCATTGTCCATTTTATCAGCTCCATTTACTATATAGGTGCTATAGGTGCACTTTGTAGTTCTACAATTACAGACTGTAGTCCATCTGTTTCTCTGCATACTTTGTTAGCCCCCTTTTACCCTGTTCTTCAGTGGTCAGGGCCTCCCATGGACCCTCACAGAGCAGGTACTATTTGGGTGGTGGATCATTCTCAGCACAGCAGTAACACTGACGTGGTGGTGGTGTGTTAGTGTGTTTTGCGCTGGTACGAGTTATAACAGTTTATTCTCAAGCTAAAACTGAGGATTTTGTATTGCATACTATGATTATTTTTGTGTTCAGATTCAGCATTTCAGCTTGTATTGTTGTCATATAGTTAAATGTGTGCATGTGTATGTAGCTCAGTGGCATCTTTCAGGTTTTGCCTTATCTTTGGAGGCTGTTAGTTTGAATGGCTGATACTGATAATACTGCAGGTCACTAACACGAGTTGAGTTTATCAGCCTACCAGTGTATTGGTCAGGCCCTAATTTTTATGTGGACAATATATATCAAGATGTAAAGCTAATACTCAGCAAGTTACAAGGTATAAGTGGAGTCATTGATTCCAAATTTATGAATAGTAGTACAGTTCTTCATTTAAAAAGAGGTATATTAATAAAGAAAAAAATGTCCATTCTCAATTCAACCTTACAGGACTGCACAAAAATATCACACAAAATGCTATATAAATGTCATGTCCTTGGTCATTGCTCAGTTTGTAACTTTGTAATCCATATCACGTCTTCCATTGTCCACTTCATCAAAGGTTTACAAATGCATCTCAGAAATAAATTCAATAGCAGGTAAAAGCAGGTGTTTTTAGTGCATGCAGAGTGGTCAGTTGGTCCGTTCGTGCTTGACTGGTGGAACAGTTCTGAGGGCCTGTGATCCCTGCTGTAAGCCCTATGCACTGCCCCTGAGTGGTGCACTAAAAAGCTGCCACTGACATGAACCCTGTGTCCCCCTACAGAGTGTTCTTGGCCGAGCAGTTCGAGCTCCTACAGCCTCATCTGGACACCATGATGCCTCCAGCCAAGAAGCCCTTCCTCCAGCAGTTCTACTCACAGGTCAGCCTCCTCAAACTCTATTTATGGACTTGCCCTTTTTGTCTGTCTCATCAACAACCTTTCAGTTTCCTCCCTCTCTCTCTTGCCAAGTGCTCAGGGTTGCCCTCTTCTTGAAAAAAAAAGCGAACTTGGCCCAGTGGTGTAGCCATGCTGTGAGGCGAAGAGGCTCGTCATCAGAGCTTTACATCGCCACTACTGATTCCTGTTCTCTGGCTTTTCCTCAGCCTTGGGCCAATAAAAATATTTCTGGGCACAGTTAATTAAAAAATGTTAAAATCCTTTTAACTTCTCCATGATGGAACCAAAATCTTCTAAATTATTTATAATGTAGTTTACTCCATTCATTCATTCATGTAATTAATTTGAAAATGCCATCTGCTCTTTACCTTGCCTGAACTATTTATGACAAACAAGCCATTAGAAATGTTCCAAAATTACTTGGAAGAAAGTCTTATTAGAATAACTTGGGTTAACTTACATTAAAAATCAAGAAAGTTTATTTTTTCTCCTAAAAACAAGGTTTTGTTCCTTGAGAACCGATATTCACATATCATAGCCGTGTTTCACATGCTGTTGCGTTTTACTTTTTATCATGATACCCTGAATATTTTGACGTAATTGCGTAAGGTTTGTTTGTTTTTTTTTTTCTCAAAAGCTATGAACATTTTTCCTTTTCAGTTGGTGCGCTTTTTTTTAAATATTAACAAAACATGAGCCTTCATTTATTCTGGACTTTCCTAAGAATTTTTAGAACCATAAAAGAAAGTTTAGAAAACCACCCTAGTGCCTCTCTTAATTCTGCCAAAAAATGGTCAATCACGTTGATGTAGTTTCATACAGTTCGCTCCCCAGACTATGCCGTCCAGAATGGAAGCTAAACTGCGAAAGCGGTCCTTTTATATGTATAATTTTTGTGAAAGATTTACATATATCTGCCAATTCAGCCTGCCTAATATACAGGGCAGCCAATCAGAACAGAGACCATTTACATATGTCTTAAAGACACAGTAACAAAAATAACCTATTTAATTCTGAGTGATAGAGTGGTTGCAAAATGGTCATGAAATAGTTGATAATGACTGTTTTTGGTACAAAAACTACACAAACCTCATAAGTGAACCTGTTTCTTGTTTAAAATCATGCTTACAACAATGTCCTGTTACCTCTGAAATGAACATCTCTAAAGTCTAATTTCAATCAGTGGGGCATCCCCATGGGCTCTCCATTGAAAATCCTTTTGATAAATGGTTAGGCTTGTTCAGTGTCATTACAGCTGAATCTATACATTGTATTCTTGTGAACCTGTCCCTGTCTGAAGCGTCTGAAGTGATTCTCAGTACAGACAATCAGTCTGTTTGTACTGTACTAATAAATGCTGTTATCTTTTGCATATATCACCTAGAGTTGTCAGATGACTTTACAACCCTCACTCATGGACCAGTGGCTGTGTGTAGATCTGTTCTGAACTAATTTCCTGACTGCTCTTTTCTCCTGCAGACGGTGTCCACAGCCAGCGAGCTCCGCAAGCCCACTTACTGGATAGTGGCAGCCAAAGCCATTGATTATGAGCAGATGCTGCTGCTGATGGCGGGAGTGAAATGGGACATTAAAGAGATAATGTCACAGCACAATGTCTATGTGGATGTCCTTTTAAAGGTAATGTGTTTGTGTGAGGCTGAATGGGTTTTATGTGATAGTACAATGTGTTAGTTCCTCACAGACAGACCCCCCCTCTCTTCATTTTCAGATAAAAGGAGAGGGGTCGGTCAGTGGTTAGATGCACTTTGATAAAGGTTAGGTTTAACCAGTTAGATGAGGTATTTGGTGTCCTTTTTGTGGCTGTGGCATGTTCCGGTAATTAATTATGACAAGGCTAATTTGTATTTGAGAAAGTGGCTAAATTGCAGTACTGTGTTATAATTTGTTTTCAAGAAAGTGGCTAAATTGCCATACTGCATTACTGCTGACATTTCACGTCAGCCCATCTTCTGTATTTAAAAGGGCATCAGAACATCTTACTGAGAAACTCCTGATCAAATATCATAGCATAGAAGGATTGTAGGTGACAGTGGCTAATTGGTTCACTGCTGTTGTTGTTGTTTGGACATTATTCTAATTTAAAATACTCTAGCCGTGGCCCTTTGTCGTAGATAGTAGAAGTATAACTCTAGGAATACATATGTGTACATAAATGTTTAAACATACAGTTGCACTCAAAATTATTCAACCCCCTCAAAGTGCAAGGCAGTTTGGTAATATAAATAGAAACTGATGAAAATCAGCCAAGGCTTTAGTAAACAGTCAAAGAATGTTCAAGCAATTTTACCACGAACAGTACAAATGAAGAATCATTCTCATTACAAATGTCCGAGTGTAAAATTTATTCAACCCCCTAAAGTCAGTGTTTTGTGGCACATCCTTTACACTTTATAAACTCCAATAAACACTTTTGGAAGGTGCTCACAAGCTTCTGAAATCTATCTATTGGAATCTTTGCCCATTCCTCATGTGCAAAACCTTCCAGCTCATTAATGTTCCTTGGTTTCCGTGTCCTGTGGTAGCTTTCTTTAAATCCCACCAAAGATTTTCAATGGGATTTAAATCTGGGGACTGAGATGGCCACTCAAGGACATTCCAGGACTGATTCCTGAACCAAGCTTTGGTTGACTTGGCTGTATGCTTGGGATCATTGTCTTTCTGGAAAGTCCAGTGATCACCAAGCTTCAGTTTATGCACTGAAGACAACATTCTTCTACAAAATGGCTGGTATTTCAGTGAATCAGTGATGCCAGTCAAACAGGCAAGATTGCCAGTTCCTGCAGCAACAAAACACTCCCTCATCAGGTCTGCACCACCTCCATGCTTGACCGTGGGGATGGTGTTCTTTTTGTCATATGTTTTGCTTCTCTTACACCAGATATGCAACTGATCCATAGGTCCAAACAGTCAAATTTATTTTATAATTTATTTATTATTGAGCCCCATATTCCACAGCATTTTTGTTGTTTTTATCCCTCTACCTTAAATCCATGTATGTTCTCTCTATGTTTATATGACCTCAAATAAACAGTGCATAAACTCTTGCTTCAGGTCCTTGGTGCATGTAGAAGGTCATAGAACTAGAATTTTGTTTCAGATAGTTAAGAAGATAAGCTTTTCTTTCTGTTGAATTGAGTTAAATATTTGGAGAATCTGCTGAGTAATGATAAGAATATGTGAATTAGGTTGAAATTAGCTTGTCTCCTGGATGCATCCTGAGGGTCTTACGGTGTTGGGACATTGCCCAATCACACAGCTGCATGTTTATAGTGAAGTAATTCAGGTTAAGTGTTGCTCCTCTGGGTCCTGCTGTGTGGGTCTTAACTCTAGGCTAGAGGGTCTGGACAGCTGTCACTCCTCCATTCTCTGTTTTCATTTGTCATTCTGTCTATCACTCCTCGATTCTCTGTTTTCATTTGTCATTGTCTGTTTTGCAGCATATTAAAAAAAATACTCGAAAATGCCCTCCATGTTTCAAATGCTCTGACCCAAATATACTCCCAGAGGTGCTAGCAAAGCAGATCTGTAGCCTGCAGCGGATAGAGGAGATTGATCTGTAGCTGTATTATCAAGTTAACTTTCTCCAGTCATTTTCCTGCACTTCGAACGAATCACTCATGGTTTCCTGTCTTCGTTTTCCTTCTTCTTCTTTGTCCTTTTCTGCAGTTTTTTACTCTTTTTTTAAATCCCTAATCACTGTGCCCCTTGAATTCTTCCAGATTAAAAGGTCATGGATATCAATTATTTGTCAGGATCTGAATGATTTAAATGGGAGGGATTTGAGAGTGAAATGCAGATTCAGAGAGACAAGTTTAAGGGTTGTTACAGAAGCCACTTCGCTCCTGTTTGTTAATCGTCACTGAGCTGAGAGCATCTCTGTCATCTGCATGTGAATATTTATTCATAACCTCCATTCATTAGCCTGTATGCATTTTGCATAGGGAGGCAAGGTGTCATTTGCATGGCGGTAGCATATATCAGGAAGGAGATTCTCACAGAACAGATGGGGTTTTACAATTAAATTATAAGCGCGGCTTATTTGCACATGAAACCCTCTGAATCCCAAAATATGCATAATCATGTGCCGGTGAACAAATTTACATAAGTCCTCAGCCATGCTGCACAGTTCGCGCAGCAGACTCAAGGAAGCTCGGCTACTAATGAAAAAGTCATGCTCACCTTTTGTGTATCTTCTAAGAAATGTGAGTCGCTGTGCACTGCCAGTGCCCCATACGTTTAGCTACCTGTGCCAAGCGTTTCCTCAAGCCAAATTGGTGCTGCCTACTCATTCTGAAAGAAGTAAATACTGCAGTGTCTCTTGATGACTTCTGCTTAGATAGAGGACACCATGTTGCCCAGGTAGGACATATGCTTGCCGGCTCAAATTATGATTTCCAGATAATTTTCATAACTTACAGTTATGTTTTTTAATTAGAACAATCAGAACACTTGGCACAATTGCAGCTTGGTTTGCTGTTTTGTACTCCACTTAGCTACCATATTTTAGCTAAATTCTTATGCTGGTTTATACTTTGCTGGCTGTAACTTTACATATCATCGCTGTCCAAAAAAACTTGTATCTCCATTTTTTTCATGTCTTTTTTTCTGCATCATTGAGCACAGCAGTTGTCCTTTACTTTGGTACTTTGTGATTTCATGACGATGAATGCATCAATAGAAATGGTCTTGGAAAAAAAAATCTCATTACATTAACTTAAGAACATTTTTGTTACTGTTTTGGAGATCTTTTTTTTTTTTTTCATTTTTTTTGGAGAGCAACAGCATGCATACTGTCCCTGTCGGAACAAAATCTGGTATCTCAAAATGGGAAATTTCACAGGAGAACACAAAAACGTTCTTAACTTTTAATGTAAGTTAATGTAATGAGATTTTTTTCCAAAACCAGCTGCCATTTTATACCATGTAAAAACATGAAAAACAAGAAAAACGGGATATGAGGTTTTGATCCAACAGCGACAACGCAGAAGTTATCAGCAGCTTCATTGCATTACCTCAGAGAAATGAAATCTGAAAAGCAATACTTAATATTTTGAGCAAAATGGTGCTGCATATCAGAAGCTAGTCCTTGAGAACTGTGAGCCAGTCTACAGTATTGTTCTCGAAAACACAAGTCAGCCAGTAATCAAGGACTGTAGAATACTTGGCTCAACGTATAGGACACTAAACATAATAGAAATGTGGACTAGCTGGGAGTCCATAGGACTGCAATGAAAAACCCCTGCCATATATTATGTAGCCCACATTAGATCCTAACTTATCAGTCATGTAAACTAGATTTCTTATAACTTTATATTACATTTTGGGCCCTAATGCATAAGGCACTACAATCATTATGCATTTGAGCTGTAATTAAACTTTAAACTAAAGTATCAGACTGCATAACACAAAATTATTACATAAAAAAAGTAAGCATGCATATTCATAATACTAATCACGAGTGTAGTTCATGTTTTTTTCCTCTCATCTCACTCTGTTGGCTTGCATCAGCAACAAACACAGAGCTAGAACATGGTACATGTAGTTCTTGGCGTCCATAAAACCATATGTCAACCTGTCCAGTAAGAAACAGGAATAAGAAACATTTTTGCCACGAAACAGAGAGAAATGGTCCAGCTGAGTCAACACCTCTGTGAGTGACTGATCTGTGCTGCACCACTGCAGTACACTGCACTGGATGCTTTGTATGGCAGGGCTTGACTAAGAAGGATTTCCAGTGAAGAATCCCTGTACATCACAGTTCATCACAACAGGGTTAAAGAGTAGGTAGTGCCTCAGGACAAGAGCACCTTGAATGGAAGTCTTGTAGGAGGAGGACTAGGCCTTCAGAGGATATCAGACTAGGATTGAACACATTGAATCCACTGAATCCAGGCTAGGCTTGAATACATTGAATCCTGACTATGGTTAACACATTGAGTCCATCAAATCCAGGCTAGGATAGAACTCTTTAAATCCAGGCTGTGGTTGGAATACATTAAATGCACTGAATCCAGACAAGGGTTGAACACATCAGCTACGTTTATATGCACACAATAGCCAAGTAGGTTCTTAGTCTCGGAAACTAGACTGATCAAAGATGTTTACAAAGAGCTGTATAAAAAACTAGTCCATTTATAGTCCCATTTACATGCAGGCCAGCATAGTCTGACTTTACACCTATCAGTACTTTCAGAAAATACAATTATGTGCTACTGAAAGTTGGTTATATTTAATCAGTGTATAAAAAGAACAGAAGTACCATGACCAGGGCTAGCGTTGGCTCAGTATACCTCAGTAGCTCTCCACTTAGTCCTTCTCTGACTGAGTTCTTCAGTCTGTGCTTCACACTTTCTCTCGGAGAACATGGACAAACATGGACAGACATGGTCTGTCTTGCTGTACGCAGATGTTTGCTTTCATTGTGGTACATTGTTGTAGTTGTGCTATCGTCATCTTGAAAAGTGGTCTCAAACACCACTATTTTTAGCTGCGTGCTGTCTAGCAGGACCAGTTGCCTGTTGCACTCTCATGCATACAAAATATGTTACTCAACTAGAATGACTTGCTTATACAGATAAGAGGTGTTATTAATTGGAAATGAGATAAAATTATATTCACTTTTTCAAACCGATAGCTTTGGTCAAACAACTGTTTATTTGTCGCGTTATGGTTAATTATTTGCATCCCTAGTTCGAACACACAGAATCCACTGACTCCAGGCTAGGATTGAACTTTGTCTTCATCTTTTGACTTTGACTGTCATACATTGTATGCCCAAAGCCCAAATCAGACCTTGTTTAAAGCTACCTCTTCCATTAAGAGGTTATGACTCTGAGGAGGCGAGGCACAACAGAGGCCGAACAGTGTTTAGCACAGGTTGAAGCCATACAGTAGGAGAACAGCCCAATAAGTGTTGCAGTGAACAACCTTTGGCTGGACACTCTGTTTTTATGTTACAGGAGTTTGAGCAGTTCAATAAAAGGCTCGGAGATGTCTCCAGACAAGTACGGATCCCCTTGCCGGTGTCCAATGTCCTCTGGGAGCACTGCATCCGGCTGGCCAACAGAACACTAGTGGAGGGGTGAGTAGCACACTCTGCACTGCCAGCAGGAACATGTAACCAGCCATTAAGCCTTTGTAATTGCTAATCACAGTGGAAACAGAATGTTTTTGTTCTCTTCTGTTGTCTCTTTCAGTGCCATGATAACAACCTCTTTGGGCAGTTGCCCGGACAGAGATGTAGCTCAGTCTTAGACGAAAAAGGATTTCCAAAGATGAATTAGCACTAACAAAGTAATCTAGCTCTGTAATAGTATTAATCTGAGACTGGGAATGTGAACCTTTATCTGTTTGAGGAGAAATGTACAAATGATCACAAGACTGAAAGGAGTGTTCTGTATTAAATGTATAATGTATGGTTCCTGAGGAAGTTGTGAAGCTGTACAGTAGAACATTCCTACCCTTGTGAACAACTTGGAGGAGTTAAAGTACATTTGCCAGGAATATTTGAGGCAGACAAAGAAATGGACAATATAACAGTTTAAATATAGTAATATTATATTTTGTCAGCCTGAGGGCTAGAAGGATAACTTACAAAAGAGTTTTGAGAAAACCTTTACACTGAAATATGCTCTCACACATCCATGTACTGGCAAACTGACGATCCATTCAGGATTGAAACGTTGGTAGTTTGCCAAAACAAAGATGTGTATTGAAGCATATTGTAGAATGATTTGTGTTTGTACTTGCATTTTGGTTTAACAAGTTGACATATCTTGAGTTTTAAGCCATATTTTCTCATCATCTTGCTGTATGACTGTTTATTGAATTTTTACAAGGTTACCATAAGCATCCTTTTTCTAAACATTACTAGCTAAAAAGGGTGAATAATGCTGGCTAATGTCTCCCAACCTCACCTCTGACTGAATAAAGCAAGCCTTTTTTTCTTCTTTTATTCATACATCCATTACGTTTCAGGATGCCATTAGAGACAACAAACATTTTCTACCAGACTATCCAGTGGAAAATAGTGAAAAAAGACTTTACAGTGTTTTCATTTATGGCTTGGTCACATAATGGTGAAGGCTGAAGGAGACATGGTGCTTAATCAAAATGGATTTTAAGGAGTGTGCAAAATTTCACCTGTTGAATATTAGATTTATAGACACCTGGATTTGGCCGATAGAGAAGTTCTGGCTGCCTCATTCATCTCTGTTTGATTCGTCCCTTCTTTGCGTTCATGTGGAGGAGTATTTGTGTTTTTTGGGAGAGGGATGGGGGGAGGTTCCCTCCTTGTTCCTTGGGCACCCTCGTAAATATTCCCAGAGCACTGTAGTTCTGTCAGATGTGAAATGCTTGTGGTGAGTTATAGTGATGAGAGAAAAAACAGCTTCTATATACCCATGTCTGCGGCTGCTTTCCACAGTGGCTCCTTGGGCCCGCCTGTCAGCTGCCTGATTTCCTTCCATGCCCATATTTAATTCCCCCTCTCTTTTTTGTCAGTTTTATCAACCAGTTGTTTGAACATCTGCTTGTCATAAGTAAAGTGTGGTGAACAAACCCTAAGGAGTTGTTAGGTAAGTGGTGCACTGAGAAAGCACAGTCTGGGTGTGCTGCAGTCCTGAGATACAATACTGTTCACAAGTCAGAGACCACCTTTCATTTATTTAACATCCAGTGAATACAGCCATGAAATGCAAGTTATTTTTCAGCATCAGGCAAAACATATATTAACACAATATTACACAATAACTAAATGTAAGTTCAAATATTGCAGTGTTTAGTGTATCCACGCTTTGTCTTTCTTACAGCTTACATTGTTGTCAGGAGACTTACTTTCAGTTCTTCAAAGAAATCTGCAGAGATATTTTTCCACAACTTCAAAGTTCGGTCTTAGAAGTTGGTTGCATTTTCTGCTTTGTTTACGATGTAAGTAATCCTAGATACATTCAGTGATGTTGAGGTCTGGACTCTGAGGTGGTCAGTCCATTGTTCTGAAAACACCAGCAGCGTCTTTATTTGATTTGCAAATTTTCTTCTATTTCTTCAATTTCCTTTTCTCAGTAATAGCTTCTTGACAGCTACACGTCCTTTCAGACTCAATGTTGAGTTTCTTTTCACAGTGGAAGGATGGACAGAAACACCTATGGGTTTTTCAGATCTGAAGCAAGACTGGAGCTTGATTTTCTCCTCTCTCTCAAAGATGAAAGCTTTAAATACTGTTTAGTTGGTGGTTTACCAGATCTTGCATGATTGTTAGGGGTCCAGTCTTTTGTATAGCTTTTATTTTCCCTTGACTTCCCCCTTCTTTATGACAGTGGATTATCTAATATCTAATCTCCTCTGAGATATCTCCTACAAAACGAATAACTTGTACTTAATGGTCAATTTGTCTGGAAATTAAAGAGTGGTCACTGACTTTTGCACAGTACTCCTTATTCCGCTACCCTCACTCACCTCCTCCACATGCCTACAGCCTGGGAAAAAGCCTTGTTCACGTCACCGCTGATATTCTGACATGAAGTGCACAGGGACCATGTATGACCAGGGCCTCGTCTGTCAGCATTTGACTTCAGAAAACCATCCATCAAATATCTAAGTAGCTTTTTGGACAGTTAGTCTTGGGTTTTGATCTTAAGAGAACAAGAAAGAATCAAGATACTGCATTCTCCAAGCCCTGCAATATTGATGTATACACGAAGAACTGCTTCGTTCTTGAGGAAATGGAAGGCGTGGGAAGAAACATGGGAAGCTCCAATGCTCCTCCTGTGTCTGTTGTGTAGGAGTGCTAGGGCCAAACTCTGCAAGTTTACTTTAGCCAAGCAGGATTGGATCAATACTGGTTCTGAGAGATTTAGCTTTGCCTCCTACCTTCTACGTGAGGTGTTTCCCAATGCCTCTGTAGACTTAGATGTCTTCTGGGTGGCCTAATTTAATTAATGCAAGATGTTAACATCTGCGTGTCTACCACAGACCTTCTGTTATGGTGTGCATTTCTTTTTATCGGCGATTCCCAGCCAGCTGTTCTGCCTGAGTGGCAGCTCCACCACAATTCAAAACCTTGACAGCTTTGTCCATTCAGCCTGCGTGTCTTCCCTCACTTTGCGTGGACTCCTCAGAACCCCTGCTTGTTTACATTCTGAGTCACCGCTACCCGTGTCATCACAGCTGCTCTCTGACAGCATCAAGCAGAACGTGAGAGGTGAGGAAAAAAGAGAGATTTAGAGATGTAGAGGTCCAAGTAGCAGGGCAGATGCACTTGCTTGGTCTCACAGTATCATTTCACCACAGAAAGCAATTATGCCGCTGTCATCCAAAAAGTAAACACTGGTGTCAGCTGAGGCTGATCTGCCTGGCTGTGCGTTTGCTTTGGATGTGGCCACGCTTTAAATTGGCTGCTGTGATGAGTGCTTAGGGCCTGTGTCCTTCGAGTCCTGTAAAGCTGTTCAAATGAATAGAAAAATGGCCTGGCATTATTTACATTTGAGCAGAGCAGAAATGGAATCCCTCTGGTGTCTTTTACCTGCCAAACTCAGGGTGTCATTGTCTCTAAATGTTTGCACACTAGGGAAAGCATGTTTGAGGTTATGTTCATAGGTTTGTGGTCCATAATAGGGTGCGGAATGAGGCAGAACTGCAGTGGAAATGAGCACTTGCATGCTGATTTCAAGTCGTTATATGATAATAGGATTGCCACAGTATTTTGGTTTTCATTGATTTTTTTCTTGCAGGCTTTGATGATCACCCAGAGTTATGATGCAACCGCTGGAATGCTTTTTCTTTTTTCTTTTTCTGACACTGCAAAGGCATGGTATCATTAAAACACCTTGAGCTGGCTTTATTTTCCCTGGACTTGAGGTGCCTAGTGTGTCCCTTCGTCCTTAACCTTCCCTATGGCCTATCTCTCAGCATTAGTACAGAGTAAAAGAAGTGTCCAATGCCTTTGGATGTAGCAAAGCAGATCCCCTATAAGTTTTTTTGTAAATAAATATTTCAGTTTATTATGGAAAATTTAACTGGTCCAGAAATTGTTCTATTCATTTTATTTAGCGATATGTATGGAAGCTCATTCCATGTTGAAATAATAACTTACGATGTCAGAATAAATTTCCGCAAAATACTGACTTACTGTGTTGAAATAATATTTATCCCAGAATAATGACTTATGTCAAAATAATGACTTAGCATCTTAAAATGACGTGCTGTCCCAAAATAATTACTTACTTTCTTGAAATTTAATAACTAAAATAAAATTATTTTGAGATACTAACTCAGTAATTAAAAAAAAGTCATTTTTTCAAGATGTTACGTTTTTTTTTGTTTGTTTGTTTGTTTGTTTTTTTGTTTGTTTGTTTTTTTGAAATAAGTCAGTGTCAAAGTTTTGTCATACTGCTGCCAAAAAAATCTCTACCTGGCAGTAATGGGCTTCCGTAGAGATGAATAGAGGGTGCAAATTTTGTAGACAAAACATTGAAGCAAAGCATTGTATATGTTGAAAAAAAGACAGAAGAAGATGACTGAGGAAGACAGTAGCACTCTATCCTCATCCACCTATCCAAATATCCAGTGATGTTTTCCATGAAAATGTGCAAAGTTAATGAATGCAGCTTGTGGGCCTCTATGTGTCTGAAGCTTCCATTCCTCTCCTCTGCTGTCTGCCAGCTATGCTAATGTGAAGAAGTGCAGTAACGAGGGCCGAGCCCTGATGCAACTGGACTTCCAGCAGTTCCTCATGAAGCTGGAGAAACTGACTGATCTCAGACCCATCCCAGATAAGGAGTTTGTAGAGACCTACATTAAAGCCTACTACCTGACTGAAAATGACATGGAGCAGTTCATCAAGAATCACAGGGTGAGTCCAGTACCTGTCAGCAGACCCAACTGCAAATGTACTTACTTGCTGTGCTTTTGCTGTCACCCAGAAATCCACATTTGTGTCCTTCAGGTCCATGATCTTACTGAATTTCCACTCTCCACCATAGCCCAAGGCTGTTTAATCACTTTGGCTTTTTTTCTCATTTTAAACCCAGTGATATCAGGGAAGAGCTTCTAGCGTAAGGAGTTTGTTTCCACAAACCAAGAGGCTTTCCCTCTAGGCCAAATTCTAGACTTGTCAAACGAGGCCAGGAAACAGTATCCATGTTTTTTCTTAACAAATAGTCTCTACGGACCTTCTGTGAATGTTCTGCCTGCGTTGATTTACTCTGTCTGACAGTGAAAACATGGCTAATGACAAACATTTCAATTTCACAAGGTTCTCTGCAAGTTTCTTTAAGAAGTTAATGAAAAATAATGCATCTCTGTTGTCAATAAATATCACCCAGAGAACCATCTTTGTTTTATTATATGGAGAAGAGTCAGCGCTTAAAGCAGTCATAACAGTGTAAAACGTGAGTGACATGCAGAAATTGTGCCAAACTTAAAAGCAAAAACCTCATTACATTGTTCAAAGACAGCTATACTGTCGTTTCATGCAGCTCACAGCCATTAAGTTAATTTCTTTACTGAAAAATTATAAATGAATAAGTGAATATACTGAAAGCAATTTGCACACTGCATTTCCATCATCAAGAATATGCAGGAATTGTGCCACACTGACATGTCATCATTATCCAATCATGCAGTGAAAACTATGGGGTTTCATGAAGAAATGCAGTGATGTACTTAGCATTTAGTTTTGCCATATTGAAAGCGCAGTGCTGTTAAACGTAATTTAGCTGTGTGGATTGCTTTTCAAGCTGGATTACTTTCACTTCTGAAACATTCAGCATTTAATTCTCAAAAAGCAAGAGTAGAGAACCAGTGATGACAGAACAATAAAATGAAGGGTTTTTCTTTCAGTTTGGCACATGTCCTACACATCACAATTACAAGTAATGCCATTTGTTTATGGAATTTCATGTTTTTTAGACTGACATAAATGCCATTTGCATATTGAGTTTCAGTATAATTTTTTTGTTATGGTAGGTTTAAGCTCTGGTATGGAATCTTCTCCACGTTATTATAACCATGTTTTGGAGTTTTAAATATTAGTTGTGCTTCTGCCCAGGGTTTGTGAGGGACGTCTTTCACTAGACAGAAATGCCATTTGTTTTTTCAAACTTACTGTGTGTTGTGTTTAAGCAGGAATACTCCATGAAGCAGCTGGCCAACCTGGTCAACGTCTGCCTCGGCTCTCACATCAACAAGAAAGCCAGACAGAAACTTCTCGCAGCTATTGATGACATCGACCGACCAAAAAGATAAACGAGAGCAGGGTCGCCCAGGCTGAAAGCGGAATCACAGTGGAAATCACATACACAGTTACTAATGTGCAGAATATCCCACCATGCATGACTAGCATTTTATCGTTAGCAAATTTCCGCAGCTGCTTTGTACATTTTTTTGCGACTATAACCAGCTTTTGCTTTTACTGTACATGATGCTGGCTTATGAACAGCTCTTTGATATCTGTGTATATCACTATCAGTTAACTGACCACATGAATGAATGACACTTGAGATGAAGGGCAAATCCTGAACGACAAATGATTTGCAAAGGGCAGCTGCCTGGCAATGATGTTTTATTGTGAGAAATTTCAAAGATTCTGATAGTTCTACCAGTTCTTTTTAAGCAGAGATACTCCATTTGTAGGTGAAGGTTTGTTATTTTCAAGATGTTGCATGTACTTTTGAAGACTTGATGAATATCCATCCATTGAGGGGAAAAATCTAGTGATCTTAATGTCTGTTTCTCCAACTCTGTTACTCAAACTAATTGTGTGTTCTTTGTTGAAATGTATTTGTTCCTTTTGTTTTTTTTTAAGAAAAAAGGAAGTAATTTTATTATTTATCCCAAAAATGTCTATGTATGTGGTCGATTGGTTGATCAACCATATCTATCATCTTGCATCTTGCAATGTTTTTCTTTCTTTATTTCTTTCTTACTTTTTCATGGAAGAATATTAATGTTTAGAAATTTGGCTGCTGTTATTCTGTTGTTTTTCCCTTGTATGTATGCTTCTATAAGATGACAACACTTGGCTACAGAACTTCATTCCGCACTTTGTGTTTGTGACGCAGATGGTTTACACTGTATATGTAAGTGGCAAAACCACGTTTTATTTATTTCAGCTACTGTAATTTTGTACACCCAGGGCGTTACATCAAACTTAAGCCTGTTGTTGAAGTAGACTTCCTTGCTGTTACTCTGTAGTGGCCTGAAGCAAAATATTACGTTGCTTATGTTAACTGACTGTAACAAGTTAGAATCAAGGTCCCAAAATAAATACACTAACATCCACGTTATATTTGTGTTTGAATAGACTGTCTTTATTTTTAAGAGTACTTGTTTGTATATTTTTCTCCAGATGTGAACCCTGTACAGGACTGAATTAGAAAAATGTCAGGAATTTATGATTGAATTGTTGTTCCACCTTTGCATTGTTATGCCTCCCCGGAGCTACTTTTAGTTCAACCGTTTCTCCCGAACTTTCTTTTCCTGTAATGTTCTTCGGGTGTGAGGTGGCTAGGAGAGGAAGTAGGAAGTAATCTGTTATCTTGGGGTATGAGTGCACGCCAGGTAGTGTCAGGAAACTCTACTGGACTTCAAAAGCTTTGAACAGCACTGACCTCTCCCTTAGGACCTGCTGCTGGACTCACAACAGAGCTGCAGTAACAGTGCAGATTGCCCGCCATTTAAATCTGCATCAGACAGACTGAGTTTGTATAGGAGCTTCACCTAGGTGTTAAAAGTCTTGCTGACATCTGTCTCAATGCAGTCACCTCCAGCAGCTTCTCACATGTAGTTAAACTTGTTGATGCTCCTATTGACTAACTGCATTACCCTTCAGGTGTCTCTTTTTTCCTTTTCACCCACTCAGCAATACACATTAATCCTTTTTCGAAACCAAAGCTTTGAGCACTAATTAATTGGATTTTCCTCTTCCTGTACAGCTATAGTTTAAATAGGACGTTGGAGATGGAGAGGCGCTATTGATTTGGGGATGAGTCACAACGAGCAGGAGGCGTTTTTATGGGCTTTTAATGGCCCTGCAGGGGAGAAGTCTGGATGTCTGGAGGTAAGAGCGTGGTCCAGCACAGCTGAAGGCCAACTGAGAAAGACTTACTCTACGTAAACAGCACTTACATAGATCTATCATCGTACTGAAATTTTGAGCGTGCAAAGTTGTGTAGAGGGGATTTCTTGAATTCTCAAAAGTCAAGTAAAAGGTCTTTCACAACTTCTCGCACGTCACGTCAAAGGGCTTTCGTGGATTCTCTTTTGAAAACACTTGCTCAATCACTAATTTAATGCAGGACAGCAACAATTCTAGCACTGATGACAGTTCTCAGGCATCCTCTTATGCACAGCACAATATGGGGCCTTAATAAACAATTAGTCACTGAAATGTTTCCGCTCTCACTCCCACATAGACAGGCAAGTATGGAATATCAACAAACAGAGACTAAAGCTGGCTGCGGTCTCGTCAGTATGGAGTGTTTCATTACTGGCATGCTGGCATTCCCCAGCACAGCCTCTTCACTCACCCACACTCAGCCTTGCACTCATGATCAAAGGTGCGCTTTTTCAGCCCTGTGTATTTTGGACCGTTACACGTCTTTGGCTGCTGATGGACTCTGTTTCAGCGCCATCTGGTTCTGTGCATGCGGGTATTTTATCACATGTATGAAAGACTGAAGACCACGTTCTGGAATGTTTGGGCATTGTCAGCCAGGCAGATCATTCACACTGTAGTGTGCTGTAGCATAATAATGAATTTACACTGCTACTGCTTTATACTGGGGTTTATTTAAGATGAAATGTGTGTTATCAGTTTTTCATGTATGTTGCTAATTTTAGGCCTTTTGATGTCCTTTCTAATGATGTCTATCCATTCAGGATGAAACTAAAACAAGTCAACAGAAAGCTCTTTTCATGACTGTTACACTCAATCAGCCATTTAGCAGGAAACAGAAAAGGTTATATACGGTTTGGATGACAGTTTAGTCTAATTCATGGAGCTCATAGAAAATGTTTGTTACTTTCAGCTCTGGCTGGCTCCTTTCCCAAATCTTCCTTTTAAAGACCCACATCCTAATTAACCTTTTTAAAGCCTGTTTGTCCTGTGTGATTGTTCTGTTTTTCCCAATTAACCTTTAACAGATTGGTAAGCAAAGCATGATATATCCACCTTTGTCATGCATTTGTCTGCTGCATGCAGAAGCATGACAGTAACTGATCTATGTAACGTGGTAATAATATGACTGTGACAGTAGTTTAGGAGTGTCATTGTATATAAATTATGCAGCCTTAATAACACTCATCAGGTATGCATGAATTCTGTCACAGAGTTAAAAACTTTTTTTTATGATATGAATCTTATTTTTAGGTTCTCTTCCATCTATCTTTGGGACATGTGATCTGTCAGGTCCAGTTTTAACAGCATGTGAAGACTCAAGCAGTCCAGGTCACTCTCCTCGTTAGGGACATGTTTAATGGCACTTAGTAATGGCACTTCACCTGAGGAGCTGGACCTTTGGGCCAGTGCCCAGAAAGCAACACATATGCATTGCATTTCTCTCTCCATCTGTCTTTTCCGCAGCACTTCAGGCTGCAAGACTGGGTGACCCGAGGACCCGGTTGCCCTGACGACACCCCTATCACTCAGCATCCAGGGTTCCTCACCATGGCAGCCGCGTGGTAGGCAGGTCCAGACTCAGAAGGGGCGATGAACGGTCACTGGGGAGAGCTGTCACTCCGAGAGGAGAAACTGTCACTCACTTGATCAGCCAGCCAGTTTCTCTCCACATGGTTTCTTCTCTTTTTAAAGGGTCTATATTGTTGGAAAAAAAAAAAAACAATTGTTCCTCATTTTAACTGAATAAAAGTGCTTGATGTAGTATGTAAATACTGTTAGTAACAAACAAACTGTTTAATTCTAAGAGATAAAGAGAGGTTGGAAAATGGACTATTTTTTAAATATAAAACCATACAAATGTCATAAGACACCTCAGGACAAAAACAAAAAGAAAGTAAGATATGAGGCCACTGCACTCGTGCCAAAAGAAGTACACTCAAGAATCAACAAAGTACTGCAGAAGATTTGATTGAAATACAAACAGTCTGTCCTTAAATGATATAAAGGTGCCAGAGTGTCTTGGGGTCCAAGGACTAAAGAGACAAAATAGTATACAAATAAAGAAGGTAAGTAAGCTTCAAATCATTTTGTAAATACAGATTTTATAACGTTATACCGCAGTTTGTCATTAAAATACTTAAAATAAAAAAATAAACTTGCAACTTTGGGCAGCGCTGTTCTAGAATAAAGTATTTAAGAGACAAGTGACCTACCTGAACGCTAAGACATCTTATTAGAAGAAGCAGTGTTTATTCAGTTTTTTTCTTTATGAGTTTACACTGTTTTCAATAACTGGACACTTTTGAGTGAATACAGAACAAAGAGATAGCTGGTCAATAGGAAATATGAGTGAAAAAGTTTGTTTATAAAGACTGCTGACAAAGAATTAAGAAATGTATATGAAATTACAACTTGAGGATGCTTTGAATAACATTGTGAAAAATGACAAACGCTTACAGAGACTTGGGTCAGCGTTACCTTTTTTTTTGTATCAGAGCTCATAGTTTTGTGCCGAGAAACTTCTGAAGTATTAAACGCAGATGGTTTACATAAAAGTTATTAGACCTCTACAAGAATCTACATTTGCCCCAAGAAAGATTTGCTTGATTTGCTAATGAAGCTTATAAATGCCGGTGAAGCATGTTGTCATCCATTAAGGCAATTTATAGCAAGCATGGGGCTGTTAAGACATTTTACAAGGCATCATGTCTGTAATCCAGGCATATGCCCATGTTTTACAGATATTTTGGATGTCACTGTTTTAGCGTGAGATTTAATTATGAATATTTTATAAATGCCTTCACGTCTGGGGTTATATTCCTGTGTACTGGTAATAAGAGGACTAGGTGAGTGATTAAACTTTATGAGCCCCAGGCAATGGTGTGGATTTATTTGCTGTCTGAGCACTCAAACTGTTGTGAGAAAGTAACCGATCTTGCAGCAAATAATCTACATATTTATTCTTAGTAGATTAATGACATTTAGATGCAACCTGTGTTTGGTTTTGTTTGGGCCTGACTCATAGCCTTTGTTGACTGAAATTTACATTTTGATTGAAGTAGCAAATGCACTGTGGCAGTCACAGGGGCTTAAATGGCCTTTTTCCTCCAGAGACCCATCACGTGGGAGGGAGTTCTCAATAACGAAGGCTTGCTGAGGTTAAAGCAAGGAGGCCTGTGAAATTATTAAGCGCTACTATTATATGCACATGGAAGACATAATGTGTGTAATCTGTTGCATCATGCAATTTAATTTTTACTACTTCCAGGACATGTAACACTAGTGAAGTGGAAGCAACCCTCGGTCCAACCACCTGCCTCTGGGGAATGAGGAACATATGTCCACTGGTATCTGACATAGTGAGGTAGGAGTCCCTCAGTTGCTTTACTCAGTGAAACTTTACTGTCACTGAGAATAAATGTGAAAGAATGTAAATAAATGCAAGGTTCAGAAAATTTCAAATCCATGGAATACTGTAAAAATTAAGAGTAATTTACAGTGCTCCAACTCTCTCATAGGTGCCTAAATGGTTCTTGGCTTGGACATATGGTTCTAGAAAAAATGTGGAGGTTCTTTAAAAGTTCTTCACATTCACATGTCTCATTTACAAAAAAGTGGTTCTCTAAACAAAAAACCCATTGAAAGTTTTTTAGAGAGAGAAGTGGTTCGTCAATGGCTTCATATAGCCAGTTGCCCCCTTTATTTAGTTTAGAGAGCATGCCTAAATCTAACTGTAGAAAATGAAGGTTTATAAATGGTATTCAAGCCTTTAATTGGAGTAGAACCTTTACATTATGTTCTTTTGTCATAGAATTTTTTTAAAAGCTTCTTTACACTCAGACACATCTTATTTACATCGTGTAATTATACATTTGGATCAATAAATGCAGTGAACCGTCTTGAATTAATACTATAGTAGGTTATTATATTAGTAAGGAGACTGTATTTATTTTCATATAAGCCCTGCAAAACAGCCAGTTTTATTAACAGCCATGATAAAGTCGAGGGGAGTCTATTAAATCGACCTTAAGGTTTATCATTTCAATATTTCCAGGTTCGGCTTACCTGCCAATTCAGAGTTTTACTGACATACAGAGCAGAAATGATCATCATCCCCTTTTAGTTGTTTTCACGTTCACTTCGTTGGATGCGCGCGCTGCAGCGATT